CATTGTTGTACTTATATATCATGCATTCTTTGTTCTATGCTGAAATTTTCTGGAGTCTCGTTTAAATTCTTGACAGATAAAAAATCGATTTCACAAATTATATTTTACTCTAAGAAGGTATCTACCAAAATGAGTCCTCTAGTTATACCAAGATTAAGAGGTACACATAATCTAACAGTACTGTTAATTCTAGTATGGCTTTTAACTTTTATATACCATGAACGTTATGTTCCGTACAAGTCGGCAAACTCTTGTCTCTGGCCGGAATTGCTTGAGCAACATGATAGCGGCAGAACCAACGTATTATTTATTGCAGACCCACAACTTATAGATAGACATACATATCCCAAGAGAAATGAAATTTTATTAAAATTATCCCAACATACAGTTGATGTTTATATCCATAAAAATTATAATTCGATCATGAATAACCTCAAACCTGATTACGTGTTTTTCTTGGGTGACTACTTGGATAATGCTAGGTCGTCAACGGATGAATACTTCTATAGCCAATTGGAAAGATTCAACAATATCTTCCGTAGAGTTGACTATACCATCAATGAAAACTTTTTTGTCAATGTGGCAGGGAACCACGACATAGGATGGGCAGATGGGGTCAAAGTAAAGGCCAGGGCGAGGTTTATGGAAACATTCGGCAACCCCAACGCAATAGTCAATATCAATGATGTTGAATTCGTAACACTTGATTCGATATCACTTTCGTCATCTGTAAATAACATACATCATGATTCACGCCAATTTTTAGACGAGAATTTCGGCGATGCCGATAGCAAGAAGGATAAGCCAAGAGTGTTACTAACGCACGTTCCATTGCACCGAGATGTCAAAGTTAATAAATGTGGGCCCTTAAGAGAAAACCCGGTATTCCATTTGGGTGGTGGTTATCAATATAAGCTGGCTTTGGAACCTGATATATCACTGGAAATTTTGAAAAGAATCAAACCAAATATCATATTTTCTGGTGACGATCACGATTACTGTGACATAAATCACACGGAAGTCGTAAATGACCCTGTCACCAGAGAGATCGCTGTCAAATCAATCAGTATGGCCATGGGAATTCAATACCCTGGCATCCAACTTTTATCGTTTGTCAATGGGGACCCGGAAAACGAATTTTCGCCCGAGTTTAGTTATGACACTAAATTATGCTATTTACCTTCTCCCTACGCAAGCATAGTAACTTACGTTGTTCTTGCGGTATTATCAGGATTTTTGATCCTCTGGTGGAATATCAAGCATAGGTCTTCTCGCTACAACTATTCCGTTTTGCCCATGCAATCTGGACCATCTACAAATGCTACTAAGATATCCAACTTCTTAAAAGAACAGGAGGAGGGTGCTTCTTATTCTGTTTCTATTCCCAAATACACCTCAACTTCCCTCGCAGCTTCTGAAGGCTATTCTTTTAAGGACAATTTGAAATTTAAAATTTCGAACTTTATTAAAAAGTGGAACATACATGGCTTTTTTAAACAGAGTATACTATTAGCCGTCCTTATTATACTGTTGTATTATATAGGATTTTGTTTAACTCTATAATTCTATACATGATAGATAATTGCAAAAAAAAAGAAATTGCGTTGATTAGCATGCGGCGTAAGGGACAAAATCTAAAACATACACATTTAGTACCTTAAAACATTCTAGAGTTTAAGGGTATATAAGTAGCAATTAAGTCATTCAGATAGAAATATATTCGGAAACCATACAAAAAAACCAAGGAAATGGGTTGTGCTGCCAGTGTCCCAGAAATGGACGAAAACGATCCATTTATTCAAGATAAGAAAATCAATGATGCCATAGAACAAAGATTACGAACCAGCAAGCAAAACGAGAAAAATCAGGTCAAATTGCTACTATTAGGAGCTGGAGAAAGTGGAAAGTCTACGGTTTTGAAACAAATGAAGTTGTTGCATAAAGGAGGATTTACACAGCAGGAAAGAATGCAATATTCGCAGGTTATATGGGTAGATGTGATCCAATCGATGAAGATATTGATTATTCAAGCACGGAAGTTAGGGATCCGATTGGAATGTGACCAGGACAATAGTCCATTGATACCATACAAGCAGATAATTTTGCGGGCAAATGCATTGGACCAAATCGATACGGGTGTCGCAGGAGGTACTAATTTCTTAAATGATTATGTGCTAAAATATAGTGAAGGGAATAAGAACAAACGGAAACTCAGTAGTACTGGTGTGGCGAGTCTGTCGTTCTGGGATGACGAAACAATCGAATCCGCAAGAAGAAAAGATTCCAATGGGGTGGAACAATTCAACAATGGTTTGTCAGAAATATCGATACACGGGAACAAGGGCCACGATAATTCGTTGATTAATTCGAGAAGACAAATTGCTGATGCAATTAGCAAGTTATGGGAGTTGGATTCAGGAATTCAAAATTGTTTCGATAGGTCAAATGAATTCCAATTAGAATCGAGTGCTGTGTATTACTTTGAATGTATACATAAATTTGCTGATCCTAATTATCTATGCAACGACATGGATATTTTAAAAGGAAGAATCAAAACTACTGGCATCACTGAAACTAACTTCAATATCAATTCGTTTAAATTCAAAGTTTTGGATGCTGGTGGTCAACGCCTGGAGCGTAAGAAATGGATACACTGTTTTGATAATATAACGGCAATACTATTTGTATTAGCGATTTCGGAGTATGACCAGATGCTATTTGAAGATGAGAAAGTTAACAGAATGCACGAGTCGATCATTTTGTTTGATTCGTTGTGCAATTCTAAATGGTTCCTTAATACCCCATTTATATTATTTTTGAACAAAATTGATCTCTTTGAATCAAAACTTTCAAAATCTCCGTTGAGGAAATATTTCCCTGATTATACTGGAAAAGCAACTGATTTAGATGAAGCAGTTAAGTTCTTCGAAAAGATTTTCTTAAATTTAAATGCTACGAAGAAACCCATCTATGTTCATAGGACTTGTGCTACGGACTCAAAATCAATGAAGTTTGTTTTATCTGCGGTGACGGATTTAATCGTTCAACAGAATTTGATGAAGAGTGGCATAATCTAAGAAGAATATTCTATTTAAGTACTGTTAATAAACTTTTGTGCATATTATTATTTATGTTATCGTCAATCTAAAGAATAAATATATTTTATACTAAATATAATGCTGTAAGAAAACACAGAGTAATAGGGTAAAAAAATAACTTGAGAAGAATTAATAGGAATAATGACGATGGATAAACATGTGAGCAATGAATTATGATATTCATTCAAATTGTTTCATTACGTCTCTAACAACAATTCATTATATAAACAAGGGTCTTTCTTTTCAAACAATAAATTGATTAAAAATAATAAGCTTTTATTTTATCTTATGTATAAATGCGATCAGAGAATTTGGGAATTAAATTGCTTACCATCTCATCATAGCCATATCATTTCTAGAACGGTTGTAGTCAAGTAAATCTTCGATTTGACCAGTACCAGAAATAACAATATCTTGATCCCATAAGGCGACTTGAGCCCAAGACTTAACGTCCTTAGTAGTGATAGAATCGATTCTTTCTAAAGCTTCTTGGATAGAGTTTCTGTAACCAGTTAATAAGACCTTGTTGGCAATATCAGAAGCAATAGCCTTGGTGGAGTTTAATTCGGCCAATAAAGCGGTCTTAACAGCGTTCTTACCACGAGCAACTTCAGCATCGGAGATAGAGATGGATAATCTGTTCCATTCCTTTAATGTGAAGTGAACAAAGTCATCAACACCACTGACGTTAGAAATTTCAGCATTGAAACCCCATAAACCAGTGTCCGAGTAAGAGTTGGAGAAGTGGGTGTATTTGTCAACGATGTGATATTCTTGAACGATGGAAGCTAATTTAGCACTGGTAAATTTAGCATTAACAGAGTGGTGGTCAAAGTTACCAAAGATAGCAGAGGCAACCTTGGCAACGTAGTAAGCTGGGGAGGTAATGCCTTCACCTTGAGCAGCGATAGAAATGTAAGCCTTTGGTAAGGTGTCATCTCTCATTCTAATTTCAGAACCCAAGAAAGTGGCTGGCTTGGTAGCTGGCTTTAAACCTTGTGGGATGGATAAAGAGCTTTCAAGAGTGTCGACTAATTCGTCGTGGTTGATGTTACCGGAGGCAGCGATGACGGTGTTAGAACCGACGAGGTGTCTTTCGAGCAAACGAACGGAATCTTGCACTTCCAAATCTTGGACCGATTCAGCAGTACCTAAGGTTGGTAAAGCTAACGAGAAACCTTGGAATGCAGACGCATTCAAGTGTTCCAAAACCATCTTAGATGGAATAGATTCGAGTTTGTTGGCTTGCGCAATTAATGAGGCCTTAGCTTTAGCGAACTCGTTCAGTTCTAAAGTAGCAGTAGAGTTCTTCACAATGTTTCCAATAGCATTGGCGGCTTCCTTGACGTTTTCGTTGGTAGACTGAGCGATAATCCCGTTAGTTTCCTTGGTGTTTTCACTGGTAAATAATACACCATTTTGAACCTTGTTGGACAACGTATTAGTGGTTAAAGCAGAAATACCATTACTATATGGGTGTTCTGATCTAGAACCAGCACCGAACCACAATCCAACAGTAGCGGATTCGGCGTGTGGGTTCTTTTCAGTAGCGACAGTTACTCCATTAGATAATGTAGCATATTTAGTTTGAGAATTGGCACTCGAGACAAAACGACGAGCTGTCAAGTTTTTAGCGCTAGTACGGAGGGCTGATCCACGAATCATCGTTATTATAATGCAACAGTTAAGTAATTAATGGTTTTCCTATTACTATTACTTTAGATAGAATATTTTTACGTTTTTTCACCTGAATGTTAACCTTTGGTTAGTGCGTATTGTCAATCAGCCAATGAAAAATTGTGAATTATTTAGAGGGCCTGGTTAGGGCACGTCGCATTGATTTTAGTATGGGCCATGAATATGGCATGAATATGGCATGTATATGCCGTGAATATGGCTATGTTACGGGTCAGAGGGATATATAGAGTTGGAGGATGAAAAGGATGGTGTTGGGGTCGAACCAAGCCGTGAGTTTAGTGTGTTTGTAGTGTGTGTAGTGTGAATGTAGAGGTGAATGTAACGGTGGGTATAGAATGAGCATGCGAAGCATGAAGAAATGTTGAGGGAGAATGGTTGACGGGAGAATGATTGGGAGGATGATTGGGAGGATGATTGGGAGGATGATTGGGAGGATGATTGGGAGGATGATTGGGAGGGTGTCTGAATGTCAGAGGTTGGATTCGGGACTGCAACGTGTAGAAGACGAGTATGGAGTAGTCGAGAGTTGTATTCTAGAATGTAGATGAGGTTTGCGTGTACATCGTAGAATAGCATTCCAAACGATACCTTAGATCGAAGCAGCTGTTTAAACATGCGGAACAGATCATTATCATACCGAGGACACAAGTATTAAACAGCTCGAATTTCAATAATTCGCCAACAACAATGCTATACAAAATTGTAAATAGCAGTAATAGGAGGCAGTTCCATCGAACAGTATATAGTTGCATAGGAGATAGTTTAATAGAAGAATCCATAGTCAAAAGTGAAGCGACAGTTCTAGTAGACAGTGAAGCGACAGTTTCATAGGACACAGCCCTATAGAAGAGCTCCATGAGACAGCTCCCAACCGGAAGATCAGTCAAATAAAACCATTTAGCTATCGCCCAAACACTAAAACCACGTCTCTTTCGCAGCCTATTCTTCATTCTCGCCTATCGCCTATTTCCCCACTCCACATTGCAACCCTTCCCTTCTCGCTTCCCACACTTCGTCCTTCCTACACCCCCAGACGTTGCCACATCACGTATCCATGCCGTCGCATCGTCGCGTTCTCACGCTCTGCCCATACTTTCTCCCTACCATTAGAGCCTCACCTACCACGCCGCAATTCCCCTGCCCGCCGTTACTTTGCCCCTACTTAAAACTCACTCACTCATGCCCACTCTTTACTGTCTCGCCTCTCCCGCTGTCCAAGAACAGACACGTTAGTTGTGCTCTTGGCACGCCCAGGCCGTCTACCAAGAAATGCTCGTGCGACTTGTCCCACCTCTCACACAAGATTTATCCGTACAGCCTCTTCTCCATCGTAACCGCTCTCTTCTTTTCTCTCGAAACCTCTAATTTACGTTGTTTCGTATTCTTCGAAGCTCTTCACCCAATTGTTGCGCACTTTAAAATAACAATAATAGCTGCCGGGGCTATAGATCCCACGTTTGTATAGTAGCTTCTGCGCGCTAATTTTACATTTCTTATTCCCACTTCAACTCCTTACCTCTTTTACTCATTATCTATCATTCGTCCATCAGATCATACTCGCCTTTCATATCCTTCTTCCTCCTTTTTATCGCCCGTATTACCAGTTATATATGCATAGGTCTTGGTTGTATTGTCGCATTTCATGCTTAATTAGGCAGCTTCTGGAACAATAGCTGCAGCTTTGTATGTAGACGTGAACATTCCATATGCACGACCATAAATGAGAAATTTTGTGCCCAGACAACACGGTGAATGTTTTGGATATTCATATATTTATCTTTTCATAAACAATTATATATAGCTATATATAAGTCAAAAATAAGCCAAAAATTTTTGTCGACAAAACACTCTTTTGCTGGTATAAAATATTGGAAATTCACTCGCTTTCTATAAGAAATTTATTAGATTAATAAGCCATTAATTTAAGCCATATCCACCAAAGAAATATACGAAGGACAGGATACAAGATGTTGAAATACTTAGTTTTTTTATTAGGGATGCTCACGTTGGGGCTTGCGATCAAGCCCATCGAAGTCAAGGGTAACGCCTTTTTCGTAAAAGGGTCAAACGAGAGATTCTATATTAGGGGGCTTGATTACCAACCGGGCGGATCATCGAACTTATTTGATCCGTTGGCCGACAAAGACACTTGTGAAAGAGATATCAAGTACTTCAAGGAGTTGGGAATCAACACTCTCAGAGTTTACTCGATTGACAATACCGCAGACCATGATGATTGTATGTCAGCATTAGCGGATGCAGGGATCTACGTGATTGTTGATGTTAATATTCCTTATGCTTCTATTGCCAGAGACGACGCTAAATGTTCGTACAACACTATGTACTTGAACGAAGTTTTGGCCAGTGTTAACCACTTGGCTGAATACGACAATGTTTTGGGATTCTTTGCTGGTAACGAGGTTATTAATGACGAAAAGTCCACCAGTTCAGCCACATATGTCAAGGCTGTCGTCAGAGACATCAAGACTTTCATTAAGAACAAGAAGTTGCGTTCTATCCCTGTGGGCTACTCAGCAGCTGATGTTGAAGAAAACAGATTGGAAACTGCACATTTCTTCAACTGTGGAGATGACGAAATGGCTAGAGTTGATATGTTTGGTTTCAATGATTATTCGTGGTGTGGAAAGTCGTCTTATACCACTAGTGGTTACGACGACAAGGTAGAAGAATACTCCAACTACTCGATCCCATTATTCTTATCGGAATACGGTTGTAATAAAGTCACTCCAAGACCATTCACTGAAGTTGAAGCTCTTTACTCAGAAAAGATGACCAAGGTTTTCTCTGGTGGTTTAGTATACGAATATTCTGAAGAAGAATCAAACTACGGGTTAGTCAAAATTTCTGATGACAATTCCACTATCACAACTAACGATGATTTCGATAACTTAAAGTCTGAATTTGAAAAGACCAGTAACCCAAAGGGTGATGGTAAGTACCAATCTGACTTAGACCATTCGAAATGCCCAGCAATTAACGATAACTGGAATGCTACCAGCAAGCTTCCAAGCACACCAAAGGGTGCATTAAAGTATGTTAATGCTGTTGTTGATCCTGAAGGTAACGGTTTTGATGCCTCTACTCAATGGGCTTGCGTTGACGGTGACAACGATGTCGATGATTCTGACGATTATAAGAACGGCAAGAAGTCTGGCTCATCATCCACAAGTTCTTCGTCTGGTTCGTCATCATCGGGATCTGGATCTGGATCAGGATCAGGTTCTGGATCCGGTTCTTCAAGCTCCTCTTCAAGAGAATCAGGGGCTAACACTTTGAACTACACATATTTGAACTTGCTTGTTGCGTTGGTTGGATTTCTCATCTGATATAATGAATGTTGATGATTTTATACGCCATTGATTAGGGAAATATTGTTTTAGTATTCTGTTTACTAATATACGTAAATATATCTAGTTACACTCATGTAGTACGAATTACAAATATTTCTTTGTTTTTATTGTAGCACATCCTACACTACATCTTATTCTCTCTAAGAAACCTAACTAACAGGATTTTTACGTTGAATTAATTACTTCATCATTTATTTTATAAAGGGCGACCTATTTAAGCACGTTGCTTGATACCGTACATCATTTCTTCTTTATTAATCAAATGACCAATACTATCAACCTCCTCTAACAATTTATCCACATCGTAGCACCAATCATTTAACAAGTCATTAATATTTTCACTATTATTATTTTGTTTTTCAAATTTGATTATACCTTGTGGTCTGTTGATCTTAGCAAAAATCATTCCTTTATTAACAAGTTCAGAAACATATGTTTCCAGTTGTTGATTAGTTAATTGCAACAAATATGACAATCTATCTAATTTAATGTACTGGTAGTATTTGTTTATGACTCTTAAGTTATGTTCAACACATCTCTTTTGCAAATTTTCATAATTGGCTTCATTTCCTTGAAAAATAGCCGATTTGTTGAAATAGTCATTTCTGTATAATGATTCGATATTAGACCAGTGAATTAATTCGTTGGTAGTGAAAATTTCTAATAATTTGAAAATTTTAGAATCCACATTTTTGCTGAAAATTGGATTTGTTTTAATTTTGTTGATCAAGTCCAGTTGATAGTTATCATATGGAGATAATATAATGTAATAGATGATTGAAACCAAATACTCTTGGAATTCTGATTTGTTTTCTTCAACAAGGGGGATCTCAATCAATAACAACAAATTCTTCACAATTGAAATATAGTCTTTTTCAAAAACACTAATCTCAATAAGGTATTTTAAATATCTAGTCTTGTATAATTCCGCTTTTTCGAAATTCTTCAATGTCTTAAGCAAAATCTTACGACTCAAAATCTTAGCTTGATTATAATCCTTCTTCTGCAAATTTAATTTTACTTGATCTAAAATATACTCAACTTTTGTATCAAATGCCATTAATGAATATGTCTCAACTTGCAAATCACACAAGATTTCGATGGCCTTATCTAAATCTTGGAATTTATCCAAGTAAATCTCCGACAACTTTTTAGAAACAACTGCTCTTTCAACCTCAACAAAAATCTTCTTATCTGTAACAGTTCTTATAGTTTCAATAATTTTCATCTTCATTTCCAATTGCTTCTTGTTATTTTCATCCAAGGAATCTAATTTGTCAATAACGCTTTGAATCAATGTTTGAATGGAGGATTTCAATTGTCCATGTTTTTTGGACAATAAAGTTATCAAATCATTCAAGTATTCCCAATCATTATTATCTGTCAATGTTTCAACAATCTTGGTTAACACTCTTTTGGATGATGATAAATCTGATGATTGTCTGGTCTGCTTTTCTAAAACTAAATATTTATCTACAGCAGCCTTATAATCAGTTAATTTTTCAATAATTGGAAATTGCTCATCTAATGTAGCTGAAAAATCCTTTTCAGCCTTCAATGGATCTTCTCTCGACATGCTTATTTTGCTTTCTTGATTAGTGGTAACCGTTATTCCTTGAACTTATATCGAGATTTACTTTTGGTGGCAAGAATACATAGTAGTGCATATACCAATTTATAGACATCTGGTTCCAACTAAGATTATCAGATAGTATTAATTAGCAATAGCCTGTTAGGGATTGGCAGAAATAGATACTTATTGATATAAATAGTTGATGTATATAGATGAATGTTGTTTCAGTGAAATAATGGTCTAAAAATTCAAATTTCTACACATATTTGCATACCAAGATGAGATTGGGATTAATAGGTTTCAATTTTTTGAATAGTTGTCATTTATATTGGTCAAACTTATTTACAAGAGATATATAGGCAATAAAAAAATTGGTAAATTAGTGATGGGGCTCATACTTGATGTCATCTATCGTGAAAATTAGGTAGCTGCAAAATTTTGTCAATCACCTTTCCTGTTTGAAATCCTAACAATATGCTGAAATGGGAATTAGATTTGGATCATTGGCACCTTCAAATAGGCGTAGGCGTACCAAAATATATGTGAACAGGAGAAGAGACAAGTATTAGAGATTAAAAGTTCTAACGCATTCTTTATAGACGGTAATTTTCAAAAGTGACTAATAAATTAGTTCTCGTAGATCTGAAATAGCAGTGAGATTGATACATGACTCACCCATTAGCATATATATCCAGTAATTGATACCATTCCGATATAGATCATTGCTACTAGTATTATAACAGAACCAAGAATGACAGAACCCAAAGTTCCATTTGGAAAGCAATTTAGACAAAGGTACTTCGCAAAATTAGACCCTAAGGTTGTTAATGTTAATCATGGATCGTTCGGGTTAACTCCAGATTTGATTCTAAATTCCTATATAAGGAATATTGAAAAACAAAACTTATTTCCGGAAAAAGCAATAAGATACGAGGACAGGGACGATTATGTTAAGGCGTTAAAATTGGTGGCCGATAAACCCTTATTAAACTGTGACTATCATAATTTGGCTATTTTGGAGAATTCCAGTACAGCCATTAATACAGTTTTGAGATCTTATCCATTTGTTAATGGCGACAAATTTGTAATTTCTTCAACAACTTACCGGGCATGTGCTAATACTGTTAAATTTTTGGAGAATAGGGTTGGAATTGAAGTTATCGTAATAGAACTTAATTTTCCATTAACCAATGCAGAAATTTTAGAGAAATTTAGAGCCGAATTCGAAAAGAATTCGCCGAAATTATGTTTATTCGATACAGTATCATCTTTACCTGCCATTAGATTTCCTTTTGAGAAAATCACTGAATTGTGTAGAGAATATGGTGTATTATCTCTTGTTGATGGTGCTCACGGTATTGGCCTTGTCGAATTGTCTCTAGAAGATCTAAAGCCTGACTTCCTTGTCACGACCTTGCATAAGTGGCTTTATGTTGAAAGGGGATGTGCAGTTCTTTATGTTGACCCAAAGCATCAGAGAAAGATTCATACAATGCCTATTTCTTTTTCCTATTTAGATGATAATGAACCTTTAGAAACTGAAGAATTGAATAAAATGAGATTCATCAACACATTCCACTATACTGGAACGACAAATAAACCGAATATTCCTATTATTGAAGAAGCTATTCTGTTTAGGAAGGATATATGTGGGGGTGAATCTGTAATTCGGAAATACTGTGAAGCTTTAAGCCACGAAGTTGTTGAGGTTTTTACTAAAAAGATTTGGCCTGGTACTACTTACTTAGATAATGAAGACGGTTCAGCAATTACGGCAATGGTCAACATAGAAATCCCTATAGAACAATATGCTACAAAAGACTTTGATAGAAGTGACTTGAAACGATGTTTGCTTTATCTCGAGGAACATATTTGTTTTAAGCATAATACATTCGTCCCTTTTTGCGTCAACAATGGCAAAGCATACGCTAGATTTTCATGTCAGTTATATAATGATATAGATGACTACATTTATGCTGGAGAAATAATCCTGAAGGAACTTAAGGAATTTTTCGATAAAAAAGTATACAACGATTTAAAGACTACATCTAAAAGTGGGGCAGTCTTTTTGGCGGTAGACAAATTATCAATTAAATAGTCTGTTTTAGGTTCATTATTATATCGTAGATTTCTATAAATTATACGTACTATTCCATTTTTTATAAAATTAAACTCTACAGTTACCGATATCAAACACTAAAATATCCGAAGCACCGGCCTTTTTCAAATCATCCATAATATCACTTATCTTCTTCTTTTCGACCATAGAAGAAACAGCCACCCATTCCTCATTTTCGTCACTCTTTTTCTCCAAGGCTGAAATAGTTGCGGATCTTCTACCAGGAGTGATTTGTAAAACTGTACCCAAAATTGATCTTGGAGCATTGTAGTTACATAAAACGTATTTTTGCGCAGCCATAAGACCTTCGAATCTTTGGTGGATTCTTTCAACCAATTCCGGAAATTTTGGTTTCTTAGAAGAAATCAAGTGGGCAGAAGTTTGCAAAATAGTTTCAATCGCTGTTAAGCCTGCAGCCTTCATGGTTTCACCACTTTCGACTAAATCAACAATAGCGTCAGCGACACCTAAGGCACAAGAAGCCTCAACCGAACCACCGACATACCTGATATTCGTAGATAAGTCAGTTTCTTCTTCAACGTTCTCTAACGTTTTAAAGTAATCGGTACTCAATTTGGTGAATGAACTAACAATCTTCTTACCAACCAATTGCTCAGGTTTAGTAATTTCACCTTCGGCTGGGACTTGAATTTGTAATTTACAAGATCCAAATTGTAAATCCAACAAATCTTCAACGGAGCTGAACATATCGGCCTCCTTAATTTGGTCCAATCCAGTAATACCTAAATCACAGTTACCTTCACCGACGAAAATTGGAATATCCGCTGCAGGCAAGAAGATTAATGCAATTGGTAAGTTGGTGGAAATAGCAATATCCAATCTATTCGATCTTCTGAACTGAATATCAACCCCTTTCAATAAGCTACAGCATTTTTCATATAAACGTCCCTCTGAATTTTGTTAGTACTCATTGCGTGTCTATCATGCCAATAAAAAATTGTTTTGTACTTTAAAACAACATACTTTTAGGAACAGCAAACAATAAACGGTCTGGTAGGTGATTCACTAAATCCATAATATATATATATATACGTTAACTGGTGGTTTTAATGACTTGAATATGTCTTTAAACTGAAAATTCTTTATCAAGAATGGCTACTCGACATGCATCAGTTAATGAGTCAATATTGACCCCACGTGATTTACTACAATTAGATTATACTAGATAGCATGAAAGATTCATTGACAAGATGGTAATACATAAATATGACCGAGAGTTGAATAGATAATAATCAAGTCATATTCATCCAACTTAATTTTTAAATGCATTAATAATTATTCGTATAAAAGATATATAAATTAAATTTAATTGGATTTTTTCCAGTCCGGTTCGTTTTCTGACGTAGCAGTATCAGACTCATTTACAAAATCGTTGCCTTCAATATCACTCTGATAGTCGTCACTATTTTCGTCATCATCGTCTTCAAGTTCCGAGGTGTATCTCTCAAACCCACTTGCACCTTTTGAGTTGGTGATTGGGACAAGTGTGCCTTTTTCAATATCTGGTTGAAGTTGATAGGTATTTTTACGCACGTTTTTATTTGACGTAGAATAACCACTTCCATTACCGTACCAGTATGTGTTAAAACTCCAATTGACCAAAACCTTACACATATCCCACGGTCCAAACTCGGGCCATAACTTGTCGACGAAAACAATCGAGCAGGACGAGGATACGCATTGCCATAATAGGAAGTCCGAGAGTCTAAACGTACCCGAAGTACGAAGTAAGATGTCCAACGGAGGAGAATTCGAAGTGTATAAAAACCTGTCAACAGTGTTTTCATCGACCACAAAGTCGTTGTTTTGTACGGACTCATTAACAATATTTTTGATGGTGTTGGTAATTTCATCTCTCGAGGTATACGGAAAGCAAATATTCAACACTGCCCTTGTGTTATCTTTAGTTATTTCTTCGGTTTCCTTCAAAATAGAATATACATCCGGTGGCAAGAGCTCAGTGCTCCCCAAGATCTTTATTTTGATTCCATATTGCTCGCATAACTCACCATTCTGACTTATTTGTTTGAATTTCAGCTTAGCAAGGTCCATTAACCAATTGACCTCGTAACTCAGTCGTTTGAAGTTTTCAATCGAAAACGCATATACCGTAGCACATTCAACCCCAGATTCGTATAATAATTCCAAAATATTGGCCATACTCTCAAATCCCATATTATGCCCTTCTTTAAGCTCAATCTTGTGCGTTTTGGCGTACCTTCTATTCCCATCCATAATCATTCCTACGTGCCTCGGGGTAGGTCCCGTTTGGATGACCCTTCCGAATAATTTTTTGGCTGTGGTTAATAATTGTGTATATCCTGGAAATGTAGATGCCCAGTCCAACATATTAGTATCCTATTATATGTGTACTTATATAAATGATTTGTTCGTAATAAATGTGTATATTATTGCATCCACGTACAGCTTTTCTAATAATTACGTCCGAAGATAAAATTGTAACAGTATTAAACACGCAGAGTTAATACTAAATAAATAGAATATTAGATTATATAGTTCCCAATCTATTGAATCCTTTAAATATCTTCCAGCTTTATGTTTAACCTGTTCTCTTAAACATGAAAAAGGTGTTGTGGCAGAAGTTTTCTGATACGGAGTGTATATAATAGTATCTTCTGAAATTTTTCAGAACTCATCGGTAAGCACTAAGGATTATTAATACTATTCTTTTTTGCCATTACCTCTATTACTTATAAGAAATTGGTTAAGACAATTGGGTAATTTCACTTCTTGTACACATTAGTTTTAGAGATTTCCATTTAGAAGAATTAGCAATAATGACGGATGAATACTCAGAACAAACAGACCAACATCAGGTTGAAGAACAAGAAGAATATTTAAACATGAACGAGATCGAAGAAGAAGTTCCAGAAGATGATGAAAATGCATCAGCACCAGATGAAGACGAAGATGCTGATATGGATGTTGACGGAGAAGAAGACGAAACTTTGGAAATAGATATGTCAAACAATTCGTGGGCATATTTTGACCAACACAAGGACTCGATTTTCACTATTTTCAAGCATCCTACCTTGCCAATGGTTGTCACCGGAGGCGGAGATAATACAGCATTTATGTGGACCACACATACGCAGCCACCACGTTTTGTTGGCGAATTGCAAGGACACAAGGAATCGGTCATCACTGGTGGTTTTACCCACGATGGGAAATACGTTGTCACTGGTGATATGAATGGTTTCATCCAAGTACACAAGTCAACAAAGAGTGGTCAAAAATGGACCAAGTTTGCTGATTTGGAAGAAGTTGAGGAAGTCTTGTGGATCAGCGTCCATCCAAGCTTGCCTTATTTTGCATTCGGAGCTAACGATGGATCTGTGTGGTGTTATCAAATTGATGAATCCAGTAACTCGCTTGTGCAATTAATGACAGGTTTCTCGCACTCATTGGAATGTAACAGTGGTATATTTGTAAACACCGACAAGGGAGAAGACGAATTAACGTTAGTCTCTGTTTCTGAAGACGGTACCGTAGTGAACTGGAATTGTTTCACTGGTGCTGTTAACTATAAATTGCAACCATATGACGACTTCAAGGGTGTTGAAAGCCCGTGGGTCTCTCTCAATGCCCATAAGAACGTTATTGCCCTTGGAGGGCGTGATGGTCAATTAGCTATAGTAAATAACGACTCAGGTAAGATTGTTCACACTATCAGAACCCTTGAAAATGCCGAGGACGAAGCAGAGTTGTCTATTGAAGCATTATCCTGGTGTTCCGCACCACTGATCAACTTGTTAGCTGTCGGTTTAGTCTCGGGTGATTTATTATTGTTCGATACCTTACAATGGAGATTACGTAAATCCGTCAAAATAGACGATACCATAACTAGATTGGAATTCGTTGAAGGAACCCCGTACTTAATTGGTTCTTCAATGAATGGGAAAATATATAAGTGGGATGCTAGAACGGCTGAAGAAGTATTTGTTGGTGTCGGTCATAATATGGGTGTCTTAGATTTCACTGTTTTAGAAAACGGTAATAAATTAATAACTGCTGGTGATGAAGGTGCCGCCTTGGTCTTTGTAACCCAACAGTAAGTTAGTGAAGTACTTGGTCATTTTATATAGTGTATTTGTATAGTAATATTGAATAAACTGAATAAATCATAAACACGTGACTCTATCATCTTACGCGTAGATTTTACGCGCTTAAAATGTTTAAATCATATACTAGACGTAAATACTACAGATAATTGTTGTTATAGAGAGGGATAAGATGCCAGTAGAGGACGTAATGCCGGTAGGTTCAGACCCTGTTTTGAGGACATTTTCTAGCGAGGAAGAAACAGCTACAAATGAAGGTGCAGAAGCCACACACAGTGGATCTAAGAAGCCATCATCTTCAGATATGGCATTTTACTATGAAAGATTATTACCCTTCAGGTACGTTTTTCAATGGTTAAATCATTCGCCTAAGCCGACCAAAGACTTTACTATGAGAGAATTTGCATACGAATTCAGATCTGGAGCATATCAAAGGTACAACTCCTACATGACACTTGACGAATTCAAAAAATCTGTTGTCAAGGCTAATCCTACTCGTTTCGAAGTTGGAGCTGTATACTCTGTAAATCCAAGAGAACGTAAGAATTTGCCAAAGCTGGCGTTAAAGCCTTTAAGTAAAGAGTTGGTATTTGATATCGATTTAACAGATTACGATGATATCAGAACATGTTGTTCGGGAACCGATATTTGCAAAAAGTGTTGGAAATTCATACAAGTAGCATCCAAGATTATTGACCAAGCATTGAGAGAAGATTTTGGCTTCAAGCACCTAATTTGGGTTTTCTCTGGTAGAAGAGGTGCCCATTGCTGGGTCAGTGATGGTAGGGCACGTACATTAGACGAGATTACTCGTAAAGCAATTGTTGAATACTTGGATGTTTTAGGCAGTAAGCAATCCAAAACAGGGAAGAAGCTGTTAAACTTGAAAAGACCTTTTCATCCTCATGTCGAGAGATCATTTAATATTTTAAAACAGGAATTCGTTCATATAATACTAGAAGAACAGGACCCATGGTTTACTAATGCAGATTCACTGGGTGATTCCAAGGCATGGGAAAAAGTGGAAGAATTACTAGCATTTATGCCAGATATTTCATTACAAGAAGAATTACGCCAAAAATGGAAAGAACAGCGTACTCTATCTACATCAAAATCGAAATGGGAAGATATTAACATGATCGCTAAAAAAACACTAAAGCATCAAAATCAAGTAAATCAATTAAATGAAACTAAAAAAGATATTATAGTATATTATATGTATCCAAGATTAGATATTGAGGTTTCGAAACAATTAATCCATTTGTTAAAATCGCCTTTCTGTATCCATCCTGGAACTGGAAATGTGTGTGTACCTTTTAATCCTTTACAAAATTTATCTGACGATAAAGACGATGATTCATATGGCTTTAATCCAATGAATGCACCAAATTTAAGCTTGCTACAAACAGAATTAGAAATTTGGGAAACTAAAAGAATTAAGGGCGCTTCAAGCCAGCAAGGTGATTCGGAAACTGAATTTGATGATAGAAGAGTCTTAGATTTTGAGAAAACAAGTTTGAAACCTTATGTCGACTATTTTGCAAAATTTGTTAATGGCTTATTGAAAGACGAATTGAAAGGTGCCAATAACAAAAGGGAAAGAGAAAGCGATCCATTAGAATTTTAAAGTCTCTTAATATATAATTCTAGTACGAAGATTTACAAATATTTATGAATTTTTTGTCTTACTGATCATTATACTGACCGATCAATGATAGAACGAAGCATGCAAATTTGTTATAATATATAATGTGTACAACTTAGTTAATATATAAATGAATTCGTGAATTTGTTATCTAATGATAGTTGAATTGAAAGATCATATGCAACTTTTATGTAACAGGGCAACCAGCGTCAGCTAAACTTCCACTTGGTGGAGGGACTTCCAATCTACCGCTGTAGTTCTTAATGACTATAGTTTCTTCTGTGTTCCTTGCATTTTTTGTAGTGCTTTCGGAAGTCAAATCTTCATGGAACCATTCTAAATACTGCAAGTGCGAATTGTACTTTACATATCCTGAAGTTAATTCTATATCGCCGTAATTTAGATATGGATAGTGCCATTTTGGAACAAAAATAACAGTAGGGATATCTTTTTTCTGTTTATTTTGTTTACTGATTTGAATGGTTAAGATGAACTTACCAGCTTTCATATGAAATTCATTGTTCAATATAGCACCAACTGAAGCAATAACATACGGTCTAATGACTGCACTAACAGCTCTGACGCCGTCTGGCGAGGAGTAGCAGTTACTGTAATGTCTGTATTTAACATTATCAGTACTAGAACTGATTAGCGTAGATGATTGATTAGATTGTATATCCGATGTATCTGCCTCTTTGTTATCAAATGAAAACTTACTATTAAACTTTGGAGCATCATCTTTATTGAGGATACCAGATTTTGTAGAGCTATCTCCATTTTCTCCAGCATTATTTTCATTACTCTTATTATTTTCATTACTCTTATTATTTTCATTACTCTTATTATTGTTATTGATGTTATTGTTCTGCTCATTGAGGTCAAGTTTGGTAAAGCTGTTACTAATGGTATCACCAAGCTTTAAACTTTGACGACGAATCTTTGATTTCAACATAGATTCGCTGAGTTTTCGTGAAGATAATCTCAAGGAAGACATATGATTACCTGTAGCCAGGGACTTTCTAGTCGAATTAGGTGTATTTGTTGTAGAATTTGGAGCAGAATCGTCGCTAAGATTAGTATCATGATTCAAGCAATCGATTCTATCTTCCGGCGACCAGAATGAAAAATCCTCATTATTCCAGCGGTCTCCCCACTTATGACAATTAATGCTTGTGTAACACCAATAAGTATGTGACATGTTCAGGCCTTCTAGAGCGTTGGAGATGGCATCTAATGCAGATGTTTGTGAGTGATATTTTCCACCACTATACGCTTGTTTCTCATCCATATCAAAAGGCATGCCAGTTTCTGACATTAATATTGGTATAGAACCTAAATATTCTTCGCATTCTCTTTTCATTTCCAAAAATTGTTTCTTGATACAATTTCTAATTGACCTTTCTCCAATAACAAGTCCCATCACGGGATTGTAATAACGACCACGCATAATTCCAAGCGTATCGACATTGTATTTAGCATTCCAAGTCTTAAATAAGAGAGACATACCGTCGTAGTAATGCGGGGCATAAACTGTTTTCGAATCAATAATATGACGATGGTCACCCTTCAACTTTGGAGGAATTTCTAGAACTGGTGGTTCAATAAGTAGGAAAGCATCTGGTGTAACAGAACGAATAGTATCTTTAAATAAGATATAAAAATCAACAAAATTATTATTACAGAAGTACTCTAAATTGATGTCCCGAATGCTCTTATCACTGAAATTATGATTTTTGTTTGGTTTGCTGAAATAATCAGGAATTATCACTTTACACTTATTATCACTAATATTCAACCGCTCATGTTCTGAATAATTCTTTAATTTGGAGAAATCAATATCTTCATCCCACTGCCATATGCCGTGTTGTGCAAATAGACACTCGCCTATTTTCCAATTAGGATCCCTTTTCCAATGGTACCTGTCGTCATAAAACTTTGATTCTTCAGGCGTTAACCAAGCCCGCTCTCCCATTGGATCTACTATTTTAAAATAATTCTTTTGCGGACCCGTAATAGCAATTTTGTAAACATCGATCTTACAAGCAAGACCCATCCCTAATTTCATGGCTTGAAAAACCGTTGGCGTAGTTCCAACACGAAGTTGCTGGTTACAAGGAAAATCCTCAATATTTTGATAACCTAATAAACCACAGCTTGGTTCATTCATCAGCTCAAATCCAACCAAACTTCCATTTTCAATCATTTCCGGCAATGCCAGAGTAACTGCTTTCCAGAAGTATTTGATAGAATTAAAATAATGTCTTTGTAAGTACAGCTGGATATTTTCTCCGTTTATCTTACAATTAGGGAAAAAATTCTCCCCAGAAAAGAATACCGTAAACATTACCAATGCCGCCAATCTTTTGTAATTCGTTGTCCAAGCCATCCGATCATAATTATCTGGGTTTCTTTGCCTATGAAATCTCTCTTCATTATGAAGAATCGCTGCCTCTGTAACTGCAAATCTACGTGGTTGAAGACCTGCAGCATATAATGTCCACATAGGAGCACCACTTCCACCACTAAACCTTGACCAAACATCTTGATGTGTCTCAACGAATACGTAAAGCCCCCCAATTCCATTAATGATACGAAGCATATCAATGGTATATGCAATAAAATCATCATCATATCTGCATGGCCCGGAATGTTCCAATGCTTCCCAGGTTATTAAATATCTAATTGTATTATATCCCCAAGATTTTATTCTTTCAAAATGTACTTCCGCCTCCTCAAGAGGGAATGGTCTTCCAACAAACAGTACCTGTTCTCCTTCAAAGAATATATTGTCAGGCTCGCTTCCATTACCGGCATAACTTGGTAAGTTTGGGGTACATGGAAATTTCAGCGCACCATCCACGTTGATACCCTTAAGAACTGTCTTTCTACCTTTATTATCCACGAAGCTACCTCTTCCATCAGTTTCTAGCTGACAGCAGTCCAAGATATTCGTGCCATTATTAGAAGCTTCTGGTATTGGTCCCGACATGCAAGTTTTGTTAATCGATTTAGCCCACGGAAATGCAAATTTAGACGATAAGCTACTTGGATTAGATTTATCATTTATAGAATCCGTAATATCATTTCTCATCATCACAAGGAATAATCTATCAAAAAGAATAAGAAGTAAGCATAAAATACTAAATTTTGTTTGAAGATGTGTAAATGATCTATATATAAATTCAGGTACTTTTTCTTAATGCGAAAACTATACACTTACCAAATTTTTTTTAAGTGAAATTTCATTCGATGTTAATCTCCATGTGAATTAAAAACAATACACGACGAGATCTACTGTAATATAAACAATTAATATCTATGAAATTACAAAATTAGTTATTACCTAAAGCTCTCTTTTTTATAGAAGCCTGACTACTCAATCTCCAAGAGTCTTTGTCTTTAGAAAATTTGTCAAATAGCGGAACAATCTTATCATTTTTCCTCTTTTCAGAAAGCTTTGCTGCGTCAGTTTTTTTGAAAAAAGCCGGGGCAAGTTCTAACAACCATTTTGCATCAATTACAGTTACACAATGCATATACTCTTTGGAAGTCAATAATAGAGTATGATATATCACGTAATCTGGACTTTTACCGAATAAGGCAGAAGATGGGTGTAAATGAACAGGAGTTTGTTCGACTAGAGTTTTATACCCTTCTTGTGGGTCTCTCTTTGAAGAGTGCTTGAAAAAGCCGGCACATAGTGCCTTTCTGACCCTGTCAATATTAGGACCACATGAAATTATCGGGTGTCGATATTTTGACATAATTAGTACCAACTGCTTCCTGACTTCTTGCGCTCTTTTCATACTTCTATCTTGAATGTAGTTTTCGACACACCATTGCTTATTGTAACCATTTAAGCTCCAAGAGCGATAAACATTTAATAGTGTTAAATGATCACCATATTGATGGTGGAAACGATATTTCTTCTGGTCTGCTTGTTTCTGTTTCTCCTTAGGTCTATAGAATACTGTCTGAACTGAAAGCATTGCGACGATGGTCAATATTTCGTCTGAGCAGCCGAAATCAACTGAAATAATCAAAGTCTTCGCCAAAGCAGGCTCCATAGGAAATTCAGCCATTTTCCTACCCAATTTTGTTAAGTAACCGTCATCATCTAACGCAGATAATGTATACAAATCCTGTAAAGCATTCATCATTGTATTTGTCGGTGGAGGATCCATAAATTCGAAATTCAATAGATCATTAATACCCATTGCTTTCAACATCAAAATTGTATGTGATAAATTCTGTCTTTGAATTTCTGGAACCGTATTAGGTAACATTTCAGTCTTGAATGCACTTTCAGTATATAGTCTATAACACTTCCCCGGCCCTGTTCTTCCAGCTCTACCACTTCTCTGATTTGCTTGTGCCTGAGAAATTGGAGAAATCGTTAACGAGTCCATACCCAATTTGGAATCATATGCATTAATTTTAACAAATCCAGGATCGACGACATAATAGATACCATCAATCGTGATCGATGTCTCTGCAATATTTGTAGCAAGAATAACCTTTCTTGAACCTGGTGGAGTCGCTTCAAATATCTTACTTTGCATTTCAGACGGCAACGCAGAATAAACAGGTAAAATAATTAGTTCTGGTACTGTATCTCCTAAAACCTTCATCCTCTCATAAAGTGCCTCACAACTTGTATCAATTTCTTCCTGCCCAGTCAAAAAGACCAAAATATCTCCCTCGGGTTCAGATATATGTATTTGTATAACTGAGTCTAAAGCAGATGACAAATAGTCCATTTCCGGTTCTCTAGTGTAAAGTATATCAACCGGGTAGGTTCTTCCAGGAATTCTTATAATTGGACAGTTATTGAAATAGTATGAAAACTTGTTTGCATCAAGTGTTGCAGACGTAACAATAATTTTCAAATTTGGATTATTGGCCACAGCTTTTTTCAATAATGTAAAAAGAACATCAGTTGCAATAGTTCTTTCATGAGCTTCATCTAACATAATGACAGAATATCTACTCATGAGAGGATCGTTTAATGCTTCTCTTTGAAGCATACCGTCAGTCATATATTTCATTCTTGTATCCTTGCTCGTTTTATCCTCGAATCTAATTGTGTATCCTACATCTTCTCCCACTTTGCATCCATATTCTTCTGCAACTCTTTTTGCAACTGAAACAGCAGCAACTCTCCTAGGTTGAGTACATCCAATAATCTTTTGCTCCCCTTCAACTTTATCTAAACTTTCTTCAGCCAAATATTGTACAATTTGAGTAGTTTTACCTGATCCAGTTTCACCGACAATTACAAGGAATTGATTTTCCCTGACAGCCCTTATTAAATCCGCTCTCATAGGAAATATGGGTAATGATTCTCTTTGTTCTTTTATTGAAAGGCTTGTTCGTTTTCCATACGATATATTTTTATCCATTTGTGATTTCTTCCATTCCGATATAAAATTTTGAGTCTTTTCATTAGTTGATGCAATATCTGTATTTTGAGCATTATTTCCTCTATTTAAGGGATCGTGTGAATCTTTACTCTTAGCCTTCTCCTGTCTTCCTTGCTTTTCCTTTTCTCGTTGTTCTTTCAAACGTTCTTCTTTGATGTCTTTTGCTAGCTTTGAACCATTCATTGCAGCTCTACTAAGGGACCCCTCAGGGTTTTTAATAATTCTAACTGGGGCCAATTCTACTGAATTCTGTGTCTGGCCCTTCAAAAATGCAGGTTCATCATGATTCAACTCTATATCGATTTCTAAATCATCATCATTATTATCATCATTAGTCGTATCATCTCTAAATGCAGCATTTGGATCTTCATCTTGTAATAATTCAGGATAGTCTTTGGCAGACATTGCTCCTGATGCTATTAATTGTCTTATTTCCCATCGTTCTGGCGAGGTTAACCTTCTCTTGACACCTCTATTTGATTGCTTACTTTGTTCATCAGCGTTTCGTACTCTACCTTCTCTTTCTTCTTTTGCATTTTGCTTGATTTCTTCACTCCTATCTAATCCAGTAGCTTGGTCTATACCCCTCATTGATAAGCTGATTTTTTCTCTAGGAGCTCTTCTGCCGGCTTGAGATGTTGGTGTTTCAATCAGCAATACCTTAACAAAAATTTCTTGGTTCAATTTTAAAACATCTGAAGGGTTTTGAATTCTTGTTCTCCCATCAAACGAGATTTGGGAAACATGGCATAACCCAGACTGAAATGATTTTGGATCGTTTAATCTTATAAATGCCCCATAAGTAGTTATATTGCTTACGTATCCTTTATATACATTTCCCGCTTCTATCGGCTCGTCCTTCACTGTATAACGTCTTTCGTGATTTCCATTATGATTTCTTTCAACTTTAACATCCACTTTCGTACCTGTATCTTCTTCCTTTGAAATGTCTTTGTATTCACTGGCAAAATCTTCTTCGGTCCATCGTACTGGTTTGTCGGGAATATTTAAACTTTTGAATACTTTTGAACCGGTGCCTTGTCTATCGTTGGGTACATCATCAGTTGGTTCTTCTTTTATGGGTACGTGATATAAATATTCATCAATTAACAGAAATACCTCATCTATGAATTCAGGTGGGAAATCTTCCGCCCCGTTGCTCTTTAATACATCTATAAACCCTCCTAGTCTAGATTTTCTGTTAACGTTATTTCGTGTAGCCGATTGTTCATATAAACTAGTAACAAACTTTGCTATAATAAAATCTTTATCTGGAACACCCAAATGCTTCTTTACTAATTCAGACAATTTACCATCAAGTGGTTTACCCGTGTCACGTATATCCTGAGACATTTATGTATGGAGCATAAGCTTATTGGTAGATATAAGTTTTTTTTGCAAGTTCTAATCATCTCTTCAAGCACTTTATCATGGTGACACAAAAATACTAGAATCGATAGAAGTGTCTACAGTTTCTACAGCAGAAATCAAAGTGAATCATAGCAATTCATAACGCTAATTAGTGTATATACGAATACAGGGAACTAAAAGGTCGAGTACCCGAAGATATAAATGATGCTCTATAACGAAATTTAAAAGTTAAGTAATTTCAACATAAGCCTATTTGATAGTACGGATCTGGTCCTCTACTCAACCACTTTGATCCCTTCTTTATCAACTACTTTAATATAACAACCTTTGAAATCGATTGGCATTCTGGTTTCTAATTCCTTTAAACATTCCTTTAATAATTTCAATCCTTCGTCAAATTTCATATCTTTTCTATAATGTCTGTCCAATAAGGATGTACAATAAAATGCAGCATATCCATGGGCTGCGTAGGGTAATTCCACTTGCGTCCCCAAGTAGTCTATCCAATTCAAGCTAGGCTGATCGGTATTCACATCATAACCACCAATCAACACATTCACCTGGTATGGTTTACGCGATCTGATGGATGTAGCCAATTGGTTTCTAACGAACGACGCAGTTGCCTTAGGGCTCAATTCAACGTCATTTTCACGCATAGTATGTAACTGAATGTTAGCCTGGATGTATTCTGCAAACTGAACGGTGTCACCAGCCTCACCTGTGAACGCAACTAAGTTGTGGGTGTTCAATTTACGGGTCTTATCATCTGTATCCTTCAACACTGAAATACCTCTGGTTGCCGCTTTCGATGTGGCGATGATTGTCGAGTCTTGTACTCTGATACCTAAAATAATATCCATGATTTAATGATTGAAGTATGCTTGAATAACTAAACGGAAAAAAAAATTTTATTGTAATTTCTCTTGTGCAAAACTATCGAATGATATAGAATTGTCTAATACCTAACTATTAAATTGGTACCAATGTATGAACAGTTAATATTTAAATAAGCTTAAAAGGTATTAGCGTATATTATACCGTATAAACACCAAAGCTATTTGCCATCCGAGTAATCGTTGCAAGAGTAGTAGTGTGTACATACCGAAAATTTACTACTTGGACCAGACCTATGGGATGATTTGTACATTTTACGGACACATATAGCGTATATTACTAGTCCTATTGGGCCAATTCGACTAATTATTAAGCTGGGAAAGCTTTCTATCAATGATAGACGAAATTAACTTGCTCAAAGCACTATTTTCGTTCTCGATCTGGTTGGCCAAGTTGATCTCGATCTGCTTTTCAATCAACTTTCCAGTCAAATCCACCTCAATATTAACGGTGGCGCCTTCGTGCTTCATGGTCATGATAACCTTGGCCTGGGTGTAGCTGACCATCATGATGGAAAATTCACTCGTATCGTAGTTAACATCAGTCACTGTCAACGACGTTCCATCAATGGCAATGAACCCTTTCTCCACAATGTAGCTCATATACTCCTTGTCCCTCAACCTGAACGTAAATGTGATGGCATTGCCATCAGGCACTCTCTTGGTGATTTCGGCCACCGTATCTACATGTCCCTGCACAACATGTCCACCCATCCGGACATCACTAGTAACGGCTCGTTCCAAGTTCACCTTGCTGTCCACCTTCAAGTCTCCAAGGTTGGATCTTCTCAAAGTTTCAGGAGCAATTCCGACCTTGAATTGCGTTTGTTCCTTATTGAATTCAGTCACCGTCAAGCAAACCCCGTTGGTGCAAATCGAATCTCCCAAGTGAACATCATTCAAGATCGATGCGCAATCTCCAATAGTCATGGAAACACCATTACCTCCAGCTGCCGAGGTATCTTGGTGCTTATATTCAAGAACCGTACCAACTTGTTCAACTAACCCAGTGAACATGATCTACAGTCTGTATCTAAGGATAATTAGTCATGATTTTGACACCTTATGTACTTTGCAATCACCGATTACGCTACCGGTGTTTTGTATTGTACTATGATACGCGTAAATTTAAGACCAATAATTTTTCACTTTTCACCGTCCTCCAATGAACAGATTGAATAGTACAAACAAACTAGTCAGTTTAAATTGTGAAAAGGCTGTGTAAAGGATAGACAATGCCATTCAGATTCCCAGTTCAATTCGAACTCCCTAAACACTGTTACGTGAATGGTAGAGTGATCAAAGATCAATTCAAAAGATTACAGTATGCCGAGCATGAGGTTACCAGAAATGCATTAAGATATATTGCCAGAAACACGGAATTACTGGCTAGGGTTAGATTGGAGGCACAGTTACAGTTAACAGCTATGCCTAAATATACTTCGTACAGTCAGGTCAAGAATAGATGTGTTGCATCGGGGCATGCAAAGTCTGTGCTCACCGACTTTAAGCTCAACAGAGTATGTTTTATATCGGGTCAATATGACACAGAAATGTCTTCGTAGTACTTTTTCGGCACCTGGGTGATGCCTAGATGGATCGAAAGTACTGGGAAGAGCTTCTATGTGTATACGGACCGAATCAGTTTGGATGGCCCATTTTGGACTCAAGACACCATATACTAACAATTTTAGACGGCTTTCAGAGAAAGAGCCAGAGCAGGGTTAATTCCTGGTGTTTCAAAGGCTTCTTGGTAATGGAACACTAAGGACATTCATTTCTTCGTGTTCATATTGTAAATAGATCAAAATATACTAATTTTCGCAACATAATTCATCATTCTTTGATGTTGGGGGGGTTTTTTTAGGGTTTGGCGATATTCTAACTAGAAATACAATTCTCTGGTGTCTTTATGCTACCTTTTAGTTCAATAGGGCAGATTTGGCATCGATAGTATGTCAAAGATGTATTCTTGGTTACGAAGCCCGCGCATTATTTGCAAACGAATTTTTTTTGTCGTCTTCCACTGACCAAACTAAACACCTACTTGTAGAAACTACAGAAACACCAGTTAATTGTGCAGTTGATATTGTCAAAAATGCTTCAACATTTTCGTCCCGCTCCAGGAGCACTTTCCATAGTCAGATCCCGTTTGGTTATAAAGCCTTCATCAATAGTGAGATGCATCTCATTGAAGCCAGATTTTTCAAAACTTAAAAAGATAGAACAGCCACCAGGCTTTATTGTTGGCACTGTTAACGAACCATATAAACCACCAGAAGCATCTTTCTACGAGGGTGGATACCACTGGACTTATGAACGTTTTATTGCTATCAGTTTAGTACCTTTGGCCATGTCCCCATTCATCGGAGGAGTTGAACATCCTATGATCGACTCAATATTTTCCATAGCTTTATTATTTCATTGCCACACCGGTTTCAAATCATGCATTATTGACTATATACCTAAGAGGGTCTACGGCATATGGTATGGTATTGCAAGCAAATTATTAACTTTAGGTACATTCGTGGGTATGTACGGAGTCTATCTCTTAGAAACAGAAAGCAACGGTTTATTCGAGTTAATCAGAAACATTTGGAACAGTTAGAAGTGTTTGTCATATCAAATACTCCTAATACTACTTCGTACAATTCTCCATTATTTTGCAGCTTATTTATTTATTTTTTTGGAGAAACCCTTCAAAATTGCATTTGTATTAGTTGCATGTTCTAGCAGCAATCTATGCTAGCACATTTTTGTATATATTAGCCTTTTATTAATGATTTATAGACGAATTTACTGTCCTTCTTGTATGTATTTGTAATTTTTGAATCATGCACGATTTCATGATACCTCAAATGATAACAAGAGATTTAGCAATCTGCAATTGTGTTTCGTTACATCTCCTATAGGTAATGAGTGATACTGAAGATATCAATTACGAAAGAAGGCCGGAGTTCAACGACGAGTCAGAAAGAGAAAATGTGGAACTTGAAAAAAAGCCTGTAGACCATCATGGTTTGCAAACTCCAGATGAGCTTGAGCCACAGGAAGAGGTTGTCTACGACGTTAATGACGAACCTGCGTTCAATGTTACAAGGGCATTGTTCATTGGTAACTTACGTAGACCAATAAATGCAATTGACTTTCAGAATTACTTGAAGGAATTGGCGGCAGCTGGGAGTGATAATATCATTGAGAGAGCATGGTTGAATAGAACGAGAACACATGGTATAGTGCTCGTTGATAAGGAAGAAGGAGCTAAATATATCAGAGAAAGGTTGAACGGAACAATATATCCATCAGAAGAAGAGGATGCAAGATTGAAAGATGAACATGACGTTCGTGAAAAAGAGAACTATGAGAAGCACTTGCAAGAATATGAAGAAGCTGAGGATAAAAACTCTTTGCCAGAGCCTGCTCTTCCAAAGGAATATTCCGTAGAGCGAAAGCCGTTATATGTTGACTTCATCCCTGTAAAGGCCATAAACCAATGGATTTATGAAGAAGACAAAGGTCCGAAAAACGGTAAATGGAAAATTGGATATGAGAATAAAGGTGACGATATTTTAGCAACCCATGCATTACTATCTGGTGATTTTATGCCACGCTACAACCAAAGACATCATCATCCAAAGTTTGGTAGAGGTCGTGGTGGTGGCTACAGAGGCGGGTACGGAGGCTCGGTTTATAATAGAAGAGGACTGGGTGGTTATGGTTATAATGGGTCTGGACCAAAACCATATGGAGTTTATCCTCCAAGAAATGGTTACGATGGACCACCAAGAAGAGGCGGTTATCGTAGTCGTAGGGGAGGATATTATCCAAATAACGGTGAAAGAAGTAGTTATGTGCCGGGAGACTCGAATAGAGAGGAACGTGGCAGATATTCACGTACCGATTCATACCAACCAAGGTCTGAATATAGAGAAAAGCCCTGGGAAGGTTCGGCAAGAACCAGATCCAGGTCTCCTTTGTAAATTTGATACATGTAGAAGTAATTCTTAGAAGTTTCCAACGATTTATTTATGCAGATGGGAAAATTCCTCAAAATATACGTTAATATACAGAAGGCATATAAATATTAATATACAAGGGGTTCCTCGTCACTGACGATCATGTTTTCGCAACTTATATCCATTTTATTTTCATTATCTATATCGCGGTCTTTCTTAGTTAATATAGTTTCGCTGTCAGCAGTATCATTATGATCATCACTTATAGGATCCGAATTATTATTTTGTGACTTTGTTGGTGTAACATTTGAGTTATTAGGTGTAATATCCTCAAGAGTACTGTTAGAGATATCCATTCTATCTTCGTCAGGATCTAATTCGATTCCTCTTTGTTTGCAAGGACTCGGCTTGTCATCTATCCGTGCTCGTTTTGCAGCATACTCATGTGTGGACTCAGATTGCATCTCACTAGCATCTTTTTCTCTTCTCCGCCTAGAGGGAGAAGCAGAGGGTGTGTTTCCATGCTTATAAATAGTCCCGTCTTCAGAACTTTTCTGTCCTTTAACATTCTGCAGTTCGTCTGCCGGTGGAGATGAAATGAGCATTGGGTCAAGAACCAGACTATTTCCATCTGACAGTTTTTCTTTAACAGGGCTTTCTGTCTTCAACCAAGGTATCGGCACTAATGGAATTGTCTGTACTGTCTGATTTGTAGGTGGGTTTGTTGTCTTTGAGCCGCCCAGAGTAGGATTCACGAACGTAACTTCTGGATAATCAAATATTGAAGATGCTACCACCACCAACTTCGAAAACGAATTAAAATATTTCAACACCTGGGTATTGTTTGAAAGTATGTATCCCTCTCTTTCCGGGTGTAATATTATCTCTGCAATTCTCTGGATAGTGAACGGCGGCTTATCCAGAAATACATCTTTCAAATGCTTGACAATCTTGTCTTTCGTCCTATTTATTGACTGTGGAAGATCAACTCCGCGAGGTCTTTTACTACTATACCGTTCGCCATCTTTGTTGGATATGCTAGCTATTTCCTCTAGTCTAATTATTAATTTCGGTAGTATATCGGACGACCATTTAGCTTGAGGTAATTCTTTATATTGTTTCGAAAATACCACATCTTCGAGTATTTCAGCCAACCGTGGTTCCAATGGAGGAATCATCAACTCTGGCATGACTTATATATCTTAGTAGAATACCGTATAATTCGACAAATAATGTTATAAAGCTTGGGTTGTTTACTGATGAGGAAACGCGATTATCAACGCGCTTGACTATGGAGTAGCTTTAAACCTCTATCATTAAATCTTTTTATAACTGACTTCATTACAATATAGACGTTTCAGTAAGTACTTGCGATACGTCGGAGACTTATAACGAAGTATTCATGCTATGTGGGTACAATATAAACAAACCAGTGTTGGTGTAAAATAGATATTGGTTTGGCTGTGAAATTTTAGACCGACTCCAAAACGGCCACTTTATTTTACAAACCCTTAAATATAAAAGATATTTATTAGGATATTTGGATATATAGTAGGTCAATGTATTGTTTTCACCTATATGTTTGGCATCGTAGAGATATCATGTTGAACAATAGATAAGACTAAATGTTAGGGCACATATTTACGCTTGACACGGTAAATATCAACATGGACGAATTTAGCACACAAAAGAATTTTTCATTTGGCTTGACCAGTTTGATAGATAGATAGTTTGTTTACGATAAAGCATAGTAAGGTGGTATAGAAATGACATTCATTAGAGCTTGTGTAAGACAGTTACAGGCTCCTGTAGCGGGTACATTAAGAAGCACGACCGCAAGACTCATTTCTTCTCCAATAATTAGATATAATTCATCAAGCACTAAGGCTTCTGAAAAAAATGATTTCAGTTTAACTGCTCAAGTTTTTCCATTGAATAAAGAGAGCATTACCGAGGGTGATGTTGACGAATGGTTAAATGCTGTTCAACAATTAAAAGGAGGTAAGAGTCACGTTGAATCCGAAACAGAAGTTTACATCTCACAATTGGCTCACCCAGAACCGTTTTTGGAAGAAAAATTTGAACCAACCGAAGAACAACTTGCCGAAGTTGAAGCATTTGCAAACAAAAGGATTCCACTTCCGTCCAATCCTACCATCGACAATTTCACAAACCTTATTATGAGAGACGGTAAAAAATCAAAAGCACAAAAAATCTTATCCAGAGCATTATATATTGTCTACTTGAAGACCAGAAAAGATCCTTTAGTGATATTGGAAGAAACATTAGATAAAATGGCACCATTAATGGCAACCAAAGTTCAAAAAACTGGTGCAGCCAAGAACAGGACCGTCCCATACCCATTAAAGAAAAGACAAAGAAATAGATATCCAATCACCTGGATCTTGGAAGGTGCTTCAAAGAAGAAGTCCCCAGACTATTCAGTTAGGTTATCTGAAGAAATCATTTCTGCTTATGAAGGTAAATCATCTGGTTATGATAGAAAAGCCCAAATGCATAAATCTGCTATGGCCCATAGAGCTTATATTAAATTATGAGGAGCTTCATTGTTGATAATAATCTCTACATCTTGTATATAAGAATCATTAACCATATGTTTAAAATTCACGTTTATCGAAATAATCTATATAATTTTATTGTATTTTGCGTAAAATAATTAATCTGTATTTTGTAGCCACAGAAGTACTTCTACAGTAAATTTGTCATTGCAGCTCATATACATTATTTGTTAGCTATGACTTTAGTTCATACCTTTTAAAGACTTCTTAGAAACATATATCATTTAGTGTATGCTTCATTCGAGAAGATAGACAGAAAAGACAAATGCATTCTTTACAGTACACATTTCACGATCTTCGTTACAAAGTTGAATACTATAAAACCCGATACAAACAAAGATATTATAGCAACGATCGAAACCCCAGAGTTATACAAACGAAGCTAAAGAACCAACGGCTTCTCTCTCTAAGAACCCAACCTCACGATAAATACTTCATAAAACCAGGCGAATTCTTGGCCTTAGTCCCCAAAAAATTGGACAGAAATATTAATCAAATCATTGAAGTGGACACTTCAAGATACTTAAAGGCACTGTTTTTGAAACAGAGAGATTTGTTTAAGGGGTATGATGATAATGCATTGACGGAAAAATCGTATTCCGGGTTCCATATGGAACAAAACAAATATGGAAATATTCGCAGCTATTCGGGTTCAGTATATTTGAATACATCATTTACTGATATTCCAAATACTTTCAAACATAATACAAACACAGCCAGTCAACGAACTTCTCTGGTTTCCATTTTGAGTCCTGCCCAGTCAAATAGCTTTGTGGATATCGAATCCAATCGACAACATCTTTTGTGCACATCGAGGAGTACATCACCATTAATAGATTTGAATTCTATTACCTCAGATATAAATGGAATTCCTTTCATCAATCCAAGTAGTAATTATCTAAATAGATCCATTACTTCTTCTGATGATAATCTAATCGACTTTGAGAATGTGAAAGTTTTGCCAATTGGCACTTCCGGAATTCTATCTTTCGGTTCAAAGATGCAAAATCTTAGTCTTAAACGTAACACCTCCCTCAACAACGATAAACGTAGGACACGAGTTCAAAACTCAT